TTGAACAAGCAGACATGGAAAATGGAACACCTGATAGTAGAGGACAAGCATTTCCAGTTAGGAAAGAGGAGGTCACGACAGTTTTTACCCTGTACTGTTAAGGCAGCTGTAGTCTGGTGCTCTCCACACACACAGGTGTAGTCTCCTGCATCCTCCTCAGCTATTTCATGAATCACCAGCTCTGCCTTGGTCCCTTCCTGCCTCATTTTGTATTTCTCGCTCTCTTTGAGAATCCTCTGGTCCTTCTGCCACTCCACCGGAGCAGCCTTGGTGAGCTCACAGCGCAGGGCGACTTCTCCACCTTCTTCTGCTTCCTTGTTCTTGAGCTCTTCCTTAAAGAGTGGTGGCAGAGCTGAAGGATGCAACACGGACAAATAGTCATCAGAAAGCCAGAATTAAAATCCTAATTTCTTTCTCATGCTTGGGATTATTTCGCCTCACGCCTCCCTTTTTCAGCCTATTATAAGCGTGCTTAGCTATAGCCAGGTTCAGACACTCTGGAAGCATCCTTCTTCAAGTGTGACTGTAAGGGATCAGTTCCCTGGGTGTCTGTTGCTTTTCATGGTGAAAGAACGATACAGAAAGATCTAGATCTTGGGCCAACAGCACTCACAAATAACACTGCTGGATACAGTGCTATTTTACCTACACGGGTGCGATTTCTTGGAGGCTGGTTTTGTTATTTTCTGGGGGTTTTTTTACTAAAAATTTATAGCCCCATCTACATGAAATCAGCCAGATTTCAAAATAAAACTACTTCTAGTTTTAAATTGAAGTTTGAAGGGCCATGACATGTAATAAGAATTTCAGGTTCTCGCTATTCCCTATTTTGGAAATCCCAAAAGACAGAACAACCTGTAGGAAATAACCATCAGGAAAACTAATTATTAACATTTACCCACAAATGTGTCTTGTGTACAAGTACTGTAAGCGAGTACAGAACACAAATAGTACTCTCCAAATGCCTCAGAAAAAGTCCATGTCTCAGGAAAGCCCAAGGGGAGTCAGAAGTTTTTGGAAAAAAGCTGGCAGGGACAGACCTGGGTCTCTTTGACCAAGTAATTCCTCAGAGCCAAGGACTGTTACTCCATTAAAACAGATACTCACTAGTGAGAGGAGAGCAGAACATCAGGTAACGAGATTATTAATGTAACACAAGTATTTATTTCTGGGTTGGTTTATTGGGAGCTAGTAGGATAAAGAAGAGTATAATTGCTGATAACCTGTGTTGTTGGTTTTTTTTTTTTCATACCTAACTACCAAGGTAGTCTTGATCCCCACACACAGAGGTGTAGACCCCTACATCCTTCAAACCTAGGTTAGAGATAACAAGCTCTGAAATGGTCACTCTTAACTCATCCTGTATGTCTGATTTGCTTGAAGAATCTGGTACCCCCAGGAGCAGCCATGGCCAGGTCACCCAGCAGAGAGACATCTCCTCCTCCTTCTGCTCCCCCAACCCTCATTTCTCCTTTGAGCAGTGCTTGGAGAGCAGAGGGCCTGACAGACCATACATCTCCATTTTTTCATGGAGAAAACTGTAGTTGGTTGAAGTGAACCATGGGGATGAGGGGGAGAAAAGAGCTGGAAAATGTAAATGTCCAAGAAAAGGGAACTTGGACAAAAAGAAACATCTCGTTTTCTCCTTCTAAAGGAGGGCAGATTAATAATGACCCAAAAAATTGCCCTGAGCTAGTCTTTCTCAGTAAGAAATGAGCTATACATAGAATGAAGAGAAAGGGGAAAAAACAAAGACAAGCTACTGACCCAGGGCAGAAACAGCTGAATTTCAGAGTGATGTCTATCTATAGAATTATTTATTAATTTTAATAAGCTCTTTTTACCATGAACTGTTAAAGTTGCTGTTGTCTTCTGGTCACCACAAACACACGTGTAATCTCCAGCATCTTCTACTTCTAGGTCATGAATGACCAGCTCTGCAGTGGTGCCAGGCTGTCTCATTTGATATTTGTCACTTGCTTTGAGCACTTTGGACCCTATTTTCCACTGCACTGGAGCTGCTTTGGTTAATTCACAACGCAGAGAGACTGATGCTCCTTCTAGGACTTCTTCATTCTTCAGTTCTTCCTTGAAAAGCACTGGCAGGGCTGGGAATGGAAAGTCGATAGATAGTGTGTTTAAACTAAGACCTCTGCATTTGCAATCAGCATCATGAATTCTCAACAGAAGCTCAAACCTGGCCAAGTCAGGGACTTCAGCCATTGAGGTTGAGGTTATCACTACGATGATCTGGAAAACTAAATCCAGCAGCGACAGTAAGAAAAGAAATGCTGAGCTGACAGGTCAAAGTACAACAGACTGGATGGATTCAAGATGCAACCTGAAGAAGTTGTCACAGGGCCACCCTCCATGGGGGCATGACATCTCAGCTGGTCTAACAGGAGCATTTCCTAGGCATTATTCACTTAAACTTACAGCATAGCAGTTTGTCTGCACGGAGACACATTCATGTCCTCAGCTCCCTTTTCAGGAACATCAGACCAAAATTAAATGTCAGAACAAGAAGTTCTCCGTTCCTGAACACAAATTAATTCCTAGGAAAAAGCCTAAAGCTGATAGGTGAACACTTCACACAGCAATAGGATGATTCAGAGAAATAAAAAATGAACAGTCATCTGCAAGATTAATTTACCATGCACTGTCAGAGAAGCCGTGGTGTGTTGGTCTCCACACACACAGGTGTAATCTCCCGCATCCTGCAGCTCTAGATTACAAATTTCCAGCTCAGCAAGGTCATTATCTTGCCGCATGATGTATTTTTCACTTGCCCTGAGGATTTTGCTTCCTTTCTTCCATGACACAGCTGCAGCCTTGGTCAGCTCACAGCGCAGGGTGGCTGTTTGGCTTTCCATGGCTTGCAGGTCCTTCAGGTCTTCTTTGAAAAGTGCAGGCAGGGCTGAAGGTCACAAAACGGACAGAGGACATTAAAAATGACACATGGCACACAGGTGATGGGAGGGATCGGGAAGCAGAGAACATTTTAGGGTGGAAAGAGTTTCCTTTCCTCAAAATTCTGGGACATTGGACAAACCAATAGACAGAAACAGAAAAGCAGCCTGGGTGCAACCAGATCTTAAGAGACAGCTTACAAATTTAAAGAAACAAATTCAGCCACAGGTGAACACACAACCAATTACGATGAGCTGGTAGAGAAAAACACGGTACTACAGATACACGTATGGTTTTTACCATGCACTATCAAGGCAGCTGTCGTCTCCTGTTCTCCACACACACAAGTGTATTCTCCAGCATCTTTCAGTTGAACGTCATGGATAAGCAGCTTCATGACCGTGCCCTCCTGCCTCATTTTGTATTTGTCGCTGACTTTGAGCAAACTGCTTCCCTTTCTCCACTCTACTTGAGCAACCTTGGTCAGCTCACAGCGCAGAGTGGCTGCTTGACCTTCTGTTACCTCCTCGTCCTTCAGGCGTTCCTTGATGCGTGCAGGCAGCGCTGAGGATGCAACGGACAGAGGGTTAAAATGGAGCAGCAAACACAGCCTGCCGGTGAGGGGCAGGGGCGGGGGAAGGAAAGGCGAGGGCATCAGTGGGGAGCTGTCTTTGGGCCTGATCTCACACCTACTTCAGGGATCAGGTCCTACAAACACTTTGTACTAGGAAATGGGACGAAGGTTTTTCCTTTAAATCACAAAACGTAAATTAATTCCCGTGACTATGACATGTAAAGTCAGGCTCAGAGGAACTATGCAGAGATAAGAATGAACATGGAGAAAAAATGAATTCAAACCATAAGCTCGATAATGAGGACATCTAGATGGAATTGGTTATTACCATGTACTGTTAAGGAAGCTGTGGACTCCTTATCCCCACACACACAGGTATAATCACCAGCATCATTCTCATTTAGATTATGGATCACCAGTTCTGCAGTGACATCCTTCTGCCTCATTTTGTATTTCTCGCTAGGTTTGAGTACTGTGTGTCCCTTTTTCCACTCCACTGAAGCGGTCTTGGTCAGCTCACAGCGCAGAGTGACTACTTCACCCTCCGTGGCTTCCTCATTTCTTAACTCTTCTTTGAAGAGAGCAGGAAGGGCTGAGAAACAAAGGAGCAAACATTTTCATGATACGCAGTTCTTGGCCACCAAAAAAAATGAACCTCGATGTTTACCAGCACCTATCCATGCCTAGTTATTGACATGAGGATCATCTCAGAAGGAAGATACTAATTTGTATCACAGCCACAAAAGGGTCTCAAACAGTGGGTAAATTTGCTGATTGGTTTAGAGGTGTATGGA